CTATTCTATTCTATTCTATTCTATTCTAACAAGCAAATGACATGGTGATACCACTAAATGTTTCAGAATCTTGATTAAGAGATAATCACTTGTTTGTTGCTGCCCTGAAGCAAGTTGCATTCTGTTCAGAAATGCTTAAATGTTTTCTCTCTTCAGTGCTTATGTGCTACTCTGTTATATGTTATATCTGTATTGGGGATGTGTCAAGATGTTTGTCCACAATGTTACAAATTTGTCCTGTAATTGAAGCAGATGTGTTTTCTTCTCTACGCGTGAATATTTATTCTGGATTTGGTTTTATGTATAACTAGCCTGGTATCCAAGCAGCACACACTTATTTGGACATACCAGGTAGATGATGCCATTGAACTCTGTGCACAGCTTATTGCTATATGATAATTTGAGGTTCTTTGTTTTGCACGTAAACCTAAACCCTGACCGTCTTGTTTTATTTGTCTTTGTTTCTGCAATCTGCAGTATTTTATGTTTATTCTGAAGGGGAGCACAAGGATGGGGGAGCTGATGCTGAGATTTAGAATGGGAAAGGAGAGCATAACTCCTGTTTGGCAGAGGGATCAGTATTGCATTGTTAGTTCTGTTCACGCTCACATCATGTAGGTTAGAGAGGCTGTGTTAGATTGTGAGGCAGAGCCTTGTTGCTGAGCAGTATTTTTCTTTTTTCAGTGCCCAGATAAACGTTTCAATGGAGATTATCAGGTTTGTTGAACCAATTTTTTTTTTTTTAATTGTTCTGTAAAAAAGTGGTGACAGAAGACTTGTTTCTTTCAATTTGTGTGCTTAGTTAAATTGTGTCTGTATGTCTATGCATGTGTTAAACCTTTTTTTTAAACTTGAATTCATTTGAGTTTCCTTTTTTGAGCCACATCTATTAGGACATTTTAGTAAGCAATACATCTCATAAAGGGAGGCATACTGTGTTTGTTTTTCAGCAACTTTTTAGCATTTCTATTTGCTGTCAGTCATCTCAGAGTTCACAAGACCAGTCTTGCGGGAACAGATCTGTGTTTACACTCAGTTGCTCACTGGTATGACTTTCAACAATAACAACAACAGAAGATGTTTGGACTTGCTGGCTACCATGGCAACAGGGATTAGGCAAAGGCTGTTGTTGTGTTGATGGTGTCCACAGAAAAATAGAGGGGCCAACTGGCTCTGTCTATGGGATAGACCTGTTTTCATTGCTTTGATGGCCACCTCTGCAGCATTGAGTTTCATAAGAAAGGACAAACTAAGAGGCAGTCATCTGTTATTGTTAGCCCAAAGCCTCTGTGAAATTCACTGTCAGTTTGTTTACCCGATTCAAAACAGACTCTGCCTTGGAGAGAAATGTTTGTTTGTGGTTCAGACCTTAATTAAAATACGAATCTCAAGTTCTGTTTTCGTAAACAGGCTCTGTATGCTTTTTTATTCATTATTTATATCTCTGTGCAATTTTGATTACTCTGTTTATGTTTACTGTAAACATCCCTTGAGCTGTGAGGCTTGACAGTGAGGGGGAGGGTGTGGTAATTGCTGCATGCCTAGCACAGGATGTTGTTGTTGTTTTTGTGGTACTGGTTGTTGTTGTTGTTTTGATGGAGTTCTAATTCCCCTAAGCCATCCAGTGCTGCCGTTGTTTTTGTTGGGTGCATTTTTAGCTGAAATGATTGTCAAACCATTTCCCAGAGACTGACCACGGTTGTGGGAATAACAAACAATACTAGTACTGTGAGTAACTCTAAATATTGTTTTTAGTTTGATCAAGGTCTGTGTGTAGCTCCAGTTGTTTGCTGACAAATTGATTTTGATTTATTAGAAAAAAACTGATTTAGGCATTGTAATTGACATCCAGTTCATTTAAGAACTGTGAAATACAGCCTGTCTCATTTGCACTATCATCCCTTTAAAAAAAAAAAAAAAAAAAATCATACACGACACCAAAAATGAATTATCTTTGCATTGCAGACAATGCATGTGAAAATGTCAGCAGGGATTTTAGGAATGTGTCATATTTTTCCGCTATTATTTGAAGTTTTATTTACAAAGTAAACCAATTAGAGGTGCAGTCATGCACAACAGTAGGTTTGACAGTATGTCCTTTTAGTGGCCAGTTTTCTGCTACAAAGCATTAACTTCAGATAATACAAGAAAATTGCTTTATATGTGGATTGGCCAAGCAATCGGGTGATCCTAAACAGACATGCTTTGTTTGAGCAGCACACAGTCTTGTGAAGAAGTCGGATGGGAAAATACACATATGGCCAAAAACAATAAACTTTTTTGTTTACATGTAAGTGCACAGATGGTTAGAACTTGCATAGATTTGTTGTAGCATGTATGCACAACCATAGAAAACACACATCCTTTGTGTATTATTATACTTGCCTGTCAGTGCAGCAGTATGTCCTTCACAGGCTTGATTTCCTCATGTTTTTCTTTTTTTGTGTCCCATGTATAGACTTTAACCTTTCTATTTTGTCTTTGATGAAGGTTCCAGTGTCATTGTCCATGATGACCCCACCAGCAGAGGCTCCACAGCAGCTGCAGCAGACATCACAACAACAAGTTCTCAGTCCCCAACAGCTTCAAGCCTTGCTCCAGCAACAGAAAGCACTCATGTTACACCAGGTAATGTATGCTTAATATTTTTCCTCTTCTACACTGAGCACAATTTATTTGTGAGGTTAACTCCAGTTGTATCAACATGTCTGCAGCAACAAATTCAAGAGGTCTTCAAGAATCAGCAAGAGCAGCTTAATATACAGCTGCTGCAGCAGAAGAATGCTGGGATTGTTAGTCAAGAGGTAAGATTTGTTTGTTAAGCGCTATTTTTTATTTGCTATAGAGACCACTGTGTATAGATATCAACATTAGGGTATTTGGTATTACCAAGAGCTCATATTGTTTTACCTGGAATAATACTTTTACAAGTTCTAGCTCTGTGTTTGTAGATTGTAACTGATGTATAAAACAGCACTAAAGCTAGGCTGTAACAGCAGCAGATTGAGGTTATATCTGATGTTTTATAAGCTGTGAAAGATTTTTATGACTCCTAGTTTAAAGGCTGCTGTATACTGTTTCTCCTCTAAATATATCAGGATTATATGTTTTACATACGTCACATCTTCAGACAGTATACGCTGCTCTTTCCCAGTATTTACACTTGAAAGCCTTGTGGACTTGAGTACACACTTTGGTACCAGCAAGTGTGTTTGTGTGTCCCATTTACTATCAAAAGCCACACAGCTTGTGTGCATGAATTTGTATAGCAGCAAGGCATCATCAGTCTGTCCTAAAATCATTTATCCACTGCCACTCACAATATGTACTTTCTGTTGGCTCTTAATAGAAAATCGTAAGATAAAGTTACGCTTGTCTGAGTGCACAAGGCAGCAAGTGTGGGTTTGTTCTTGCTCAAATTTGTTGTATTTCAGTTCGCAGTTGCATTTCAATGCAAACAATCAGTAGAAAGAGTTCATTTGGCAATTACAATATTGCAACAGATAAAGAGTTCACTGACTAATGTTCTGTCACAGCTGACAGCCCAGCAGATTGCCATCCAGCAGCAGCTCCTTCAGGTGCAGCAGCAGCACCTCCTCAACCTTCAGAGGCAAGGCCTGCTGTCTGTGCTTCCTACCAGCCCATCTATAGCTCCAGGTATGTGTCTAACACTCCCTGTTGCAGATTCATTTACTGCAGAGCTCAAACTCCTAAACAGATTGTTTTCAGTTACAGTGGTTGGTTTTTGCTAGTGATTGCCAGAATGTTAGGTTTTAAGTAAACAGTGTTTTTTATCGTGATCTTAATCATCTCGAGGAAATTTTTCTCTGTAAAATGCAGTAATATCCCACTGTATCGTACAATTTATCTATAGTGTACATGTGCACTTTTAGGCTGTGAGAATGGTAGCATCCTGTCAGCTGGTGGAGACACCAGAGAGTCTTCCAGTCAACAATCTACCACCAATGGTCATCAAACTCTTCTGAAGAGAAAAGACAGGTGCTTTTGAAATTTCCAGTCTTGTCTAAACCTTAGTTGTTTTTTCATTTATTTGTATCTAGCTTTCAGTGCACTCACTCTGTTGCATTATGTGTTTTGCAGTGGTCCGCTGGATGAAAATACACAGAACAGCCATCCTCTGTATGGAAATGGGATGTGTAAATGGCCTGGCTGTGAGACGGTCTTTGGGGACTTTCAGGCATTTCTCAAGTGAGTGTTGAAATCTAGCATTCCTCTAAACTGGTGTTCATTCATACATACTTGGATATACAAGGATGTGCCATTGCAATAAATGATAAAGTAATATATTTATTATATGAGCAATGATATAGTATATTTAATGTTTTGGTGAGAAGCAGTGAGTTCTTTTTTGCTGCATTACAGAAGGATACTTTAGCATTGTTTTGTTTTGTTCCCTCCTGTTTGTGCAGGACATTGTTTCCCTGAAGCATGTCATGATTTTGAATTTTCTTGTTTGCAGACATCTAAACAGTGAACACACACTGGATGACAAGAGTACAGCACAATGTCGTGTACAGATGCAAGTGGTTCAGCAGCTAGAACTGCAGGTACAGCATGTTTTTTTTTTACCTAATACTTTTAGATTTTGTTGCTTTGTTTTCCCTTTCCCTCTCTAACTTTAAAAAAATGAAATGCAACTATGATGATTAGTGTTGTGTTGAGTCTTTTTTTTTTTAACTCTCAAAGTGTATGTGAAATTCTTAGCAGTTGTGGTGTTTTTTCACACCAGCGTTTTATATTTACACCTCTCAGGAGGCCTGGAAAGAAGTAGTTTCCACACCAAACTTCACATTGTCATGTAACACAGAATTAACCATCCATAAACTTCTATTTTTGCCTTTCATTTTAACACAGCTGAAGAAGGACAAAGAACGACTGCAGGCTATGATGGCTCATCTGAAATCCTCTGAACCCAAACCTGCAGCACAGCCTGTAAGAACCTGCCACAGCTGTTTCCTTCAATTAAAATAAATAGTGTTTTGCTTGTAGTTACACCAACATTTTGCTGACTTAACTGCTTTGTTTTCTGTTCTTTTTTTCTTCAGGTTAATCTGGTGTCTAATGCATCTTTCTCCCAGGCAACATTGCCCAAAGGCCCTCCTCCTATGAGCATTTCTCAGAGTGCCACGGCACCATCCACACCCTTGACACCACTCTCCGAATCTCCCTCAGTTCTCACTCCCAATAGCATGTTCACTGGAACCCCTGTAAGGAGGCGATACAGCCGCTCTGTAAGCCAAGGTAACTGTGAGATCATAAGTCACAGCTTTTAATTAATAATGTTTTCATGGGGCAAAAGTGCTGAAATATGCTTCTACTGAGATATAATTGGAAATATTTGTTATACGTTTCACTTTTATTGTGCATATGTGTAAATATGGCTTGTTAATGTCTTTACACAGATATAATTGATAATAAGGAGTTCTACTTGAGCACAGAAGTTAGGCCTCCATTTACTTACGCCTCTCTCATAAGACAGGTAATGTGGAACTTTTTTCAGCCACGTAAAGCAGATCACTACATCTTTTCTGTTATTTGGAGCCTCTCTTACACGTTCTGTCTCTTTCAGGCTATATTTGAATCACCTCGCAATCAGCTGACATTAAATGAAATCTACAACTGGTTCACAAGAAACTTTGCATATTTCCGGCGTAATGCAGCTACTTGGAAGGTATTGATATTTATATACTGTATATTAAATGTCATTAAAGATTTCAATTTGAAACGGGAAAAAAAGCTAATTCCTTACTTGAAGTGTGGAGTTTCTAAATGTGGGGTTTTCTTATATTTTGCAGAATGCAGTCAGACATAACCTCAGTCTCCATAAATGCTTTGTACGTTTGGAGAACGTGAAGGGAGCTGTGTGGACAGTAGATGAGATTGAGTTTCACAGGAGGCGGCCCCAGAAAGCTGCTGGTAACGGGTATGTACACTTTAGACGTGACGGCCGTGCACTTTCAGATGTTACTAGAAGTCAGACGCTTGGCATCAAGGAACTTGACCTTGTAGCTTTACCTCACAAGTAAAGAGTATTTACTGTCAACAGGTCATGGAGTTTTAAAGGCTTGGGAGTGTGCTATGATAAAAATGGAAAAAAACTCGGGGGTTAGAATTGCAGATGTTAAATGATTAAATGCTAAAAGAAAATACCCAACAACAACAAAGGAGATCATCTAAATTGTGTTAAATAAAATATGAACAAAATGTTGTTTTCCACAATGTTTCACTCAGACCCATGTGTTTGTGAGCAACAATAAATGGTCTGCTTTTTGCTACTTTACTACTTTACTTTTACACGAAATCAATAATAATAAACCAAAATCTGTAGTGTATCAAAACTGTTACGAGGCATGTTTCTGATTGCATCGTCTTGCAAAGATGACTCAAACTCTTAGCTATTGTGGATTTTGCTAAGTAAACAGACCTGGAGCGCCATTGTATATTTTGGCAGTACTCGTAGTTCCTTCAGATCGAGGGAAATGTAACTTAACACTATCACCCTTAGTTACTGTTGCTGTTTCAGTTAAAAATGCGCGTTTAAGATAAGCTTGCATTTCTGAATCCCTCTTAAGTGAGCTCCATGCACACAGCTTCTGCAAACAAATACACTTTTAAGAATATTAGAGGGAATTTATACATTCAACAACATTTTTCTTCAGTAAAATTCCAGGACAGAAGTTTTAGACCATTTAAGTATTCATACTCAAATGTAATAATTTGCTCTTGTATTTATATGCTAATAGATCTCTGCTGAAGAGTGCCCAGAACCGTACAGGCCTAGCTGGATCTGCCCTTCAGGTAACAGAGAAATGTTAATTATCTTGTTGTTTGTGTGTATTGTATTACAAATAAAAAGATGTTTGATGAATGAATTATCCTAACATAGTATATGTGTTTAAGCAGTGCTATAAATACACCTCTGACAGTATTACTTTTTTCAGGGTGGTCTAGAATGCAACTCTCTATACAACCCAGCTTCTATGGGCAGCATCCCACTGCACTCCTTGCCTCATGTTCTTCAGGAGCAGATGAATGGAGCTCTCGCTAATGGATCTGGATACCAAAGTGACAGCAGTGCAACACAGTCCCCACCACAGGCTTTGTAAGTGTCCTTATTCACTGAACTCTTCAGTGCATTTGAATTACGTACTATTTAAAGTCTGATCACATTTTTGTTCCCTGTGTTTACCAAACCAGCATTAAAGAAGAGCAGGAGGATGAGGAGATAACCGAAAATTATCCCTATGAATCTCCAGAGAGCACAGACGAGCACGGCCACAGCCCAGAGATGAACAGAGACGATGACAACGGTAGCCCGGAGAGGCCCAGCCTTCATCTTGACCGTGTGCCTTCCCTCTGACTTTGAAGTCCAACTTCTCAATGGCAAAGCTGCCAGTGTGACTTTGTATTAAAAAAACAAACAAAAAAAAACAACAACTTCAGCTTCATCTACGTAACCAAACACTCTGTTCTTTGGAATCTTTTTCGTTATTTTTTTCTTTCTGTATTTATCGGCGTCTCTTATTTTTTTGTTTTTAATCTAGCTCTCAAATGTTTTTTGTATAGTTAAGTGAGATCACAAACAACATTTGTGAAACTGTCTGTCTGTGATTCTTCTTCTTAATCTTCTTCTTTTTTTAAAAAAAAATAATACATATATATATATAGCTGTACAGAAAAGGACCATAATGAGCAGAGAAGCCAAAGGAAAGGGAAAATTGATGTGCCCCTTTCAGACATGGGATAAAAAAAATTGCTGGCTTTATCAGTCATTCATATCTGGATTACTTTCATGTGTTAATCATCTTCATGGCTTCACACATACAGTACCTGACGGTGACTTGAGAGAGAGTGTGTGTGCAATATTCGCTAATATTCAATATGCTTTGGTGGCAGTATTATTATTGACTGATTATTAGTGAAGTGCAAACACACCTATGGAGTGTTTAGTTCTCTTTACTCATTACAAGCACTGTGTGTGTGTGTGTGTGTGTGTGTGTGTGTGTGTGTGTGTGTGTGTCTCATTTTTCATTAGGAAACAAGCTAGGCATATAAAAATGGCCTTGTTTATTGTATAGGGCCATTTTCAGCAAAAATATCACTCTGTTTTCTCTAGAAACTATTTGACTACTTTTCAACAGTTACCCCCAACCACAATGACTGTGCATGTTTGCGGCAGACTTATGACATGCTAGTTTTGCTGAGCAGACCTTGTAGTCATCTTTGGCTTTGCATGTTTCTCTTGTTTGCACAGTGCCATCTAATCCCGCCATGTTGCTCACGTTTTTTTTTTGTTTTTTTCTGTCTGGGAGTTAATAGTGCATTCCTTTTTTAAATTTTAGTTGTTTAATAACAGTTGGTAAATGGTTTCTAGTTGCATTACCACTACTATCTTGATTAATTGTGCATTCCTAAACCTTAATATGACTGAATGAATTCAACCTTCCACTGTGTTCAAAGTAATGCGTAAATGTTATTTAGTCCAACCTCTAGACTGCAGTGGTGACTACAACAGAAAAGTGACCAAGATGTTCACACGAAGATGAAGCTGACGTGTTAAAATGCCGTCGGGTTAATGGTTCATGTCTGAAAGGGGCTGAATTAAAGGGGCTGAAGTAAGCACTTCACAATGATAGTCCTACTCTTTATAGCTACTTAATGCTATGCTGGGGCCACACTACCTGATTTTATTTTAGTAGTCATAGTATATAAAAATTTGTAGAGGAATAAAAAAAAAAAAATGTTGCTTTAAAAATGAAAATGTTCACTGCCAACATGATCTGATATATTTGTATTTAAGGTATAATCAAATGATCAAAGGAACACATAGCGTCTTTATACTTGTTGGTCTTTTTCACCTCTTCCATCAACATTGAAATTTGCTCTAACTGAGCTTGTAAGAGTAGATACTATAGATTTACCATTATTGTAAACCAATGCATCTCTATGAATAATAAATTCCTCATGATATATGTGAATAATGTATGTGTCTTTGATTTAGTTTTCTGATTGTTAATTTGGGAAGAATTTATTGTTTCACATGCAAAAATTAAAGCTAGGTGCATTTTTTTTTCCAAATGCTGACAGCTCAACTTCTCAGCAGTAAGGACACTTTTTTTTTTTACTGTAGTATTGTGATATGTCAGTTTTAAATATATGCAAGTGCATACTATAAGCAAGTGTTGTTTACAAAAACCAATGTAGTGTTAGAAACACTGGTTGAGGCAAGATAATAAATGTTGCATAAAAGAGCATTTTATGCAAGTCTTGTCTTTCTTTACTTAATAAATGAAGGGGTTAGATAAGTGGCTTTTGTTGACCTTCCGTTGATGTAATACTGTAACTGAAGTGATGTTTGGTGCCGTATGCTGTCACAGATTTGTTGCACTGCTTCTTGATTAGAAGTTACTGATGGATCAAGAGTGTTGTCACAAGGTGTGTGTGTGTGTGTGTGTGTGTGTGTGTGTGTGTGTGTGCATTATGATGTACTCGATGTGCTCAAACTTAGAGGGCCTGCAGATGAAGATATTACAGATTAAACCACTGGTTGAATTAATACCATTAATACCACCACATCACCTTTAACAAGAACAGCACGCAACTTTGTTATAGAGCCCCTTGTGCCATTGCTGAAACAGTGCTTTGAATTTTTGTTTTTTACAAAATGCCAACTCCTTAATAATACTCCTGTGAACTCTCAAGAAATATAGAGGGGTAGGGTCACATCATGTCCAGATTGGGTAAATACTAAAGTTTAAATACTTGATATTAATAATAAAGTGAGGACATTAAATGAATGACTGAATGATGTGGCAAAAGGAGTATTTTGACTCTGCACAGTATATAGAGTGCCCTTAATCACCTACTCAACCCAGCAAAGTCGAGCCAAATTACAGAGTGCAAATGAACTGTTGCTTGTTGAAGTTCTACTGAGCAATTGTTCTCTATTATATACTTTAAATGGCACCTCCCTGGCGCTTTGAATATTTCACTCTGCCTGATAGAATAACTTTGCTAGTAGGTTGTAAAACCCATTAATGGTTTTACAGTTGTATTGTTTGTGCATTAAAAACCTTTCCTCTGTTGTTTACATCCTTTCTCGAAAGGAAACACACCTGTGATGGGCGGTCTTTAAGGAAAGAAGCTGGGCAAGTTATGTAAGATATGTAATCTGGCACCAGTTTGGAGAAAAGTTGGACACTGTTTGATATTCCTGTAATTCCCTGGGTGGCAGGAAAAGGGGTGGATCCAGCTTTTCCCCGTGTTCTGACAAGTTCAGCAGCAGCAGTCTTTTTTTTTCCTGATGATTCATACCTGCCTGACGCTAGTTATTATGTAGCACTAAAGGAAGAATGGTTGCTGTAATTAAACAGCCTGAAACTGTTGTTAATTATTAAAATTGTAATTGGGGCAATGGTATGTGGTGAGATATGCAGTAGAAACAACTTTCAAAGGGTGTAATTTCCTACCGTGCAATTTACATACCTTCTTTGAATTTCCTTTGTTGTATTTTTTTTTTATCTCCAACAGGTTGCTTTGGAGCATTTACGTTTGCCTGTCTCCATTGTCATTTCCATGAGGTAATTATTCTGTAAAAGGTACATGTCTGAGCCATGATTTTCCCATACACAAATATATCATCCCATCCAGAGGAGGGGGGCAGTTTCAAACAAATGGACTGTAACTGCTGTGGTGCCTGCCAGGATACAGGAGAACTTAGCTGGGTATGTAAATGTAAGAGGCATGCTAAAAAAATCTCTCTTGCCTTGAATTTCTGACTTGCAGACTTGTGGACACAAACATTCTTTAGAGTCATCACATTCATCAAGTTGCTAACTGCTTTCTCACCCCAAAATAGAGTTGGTTAGATTAATAAAATAAGAAAATAGCCCTCAGTTGATCCCATGCTCACCCCACGCAGTCGAGTAACCAAATGCCAACATGAGACTCAGTCCAGCATGCAGGAGTGTAGGGTGGGGGTTTACGCTATGTTGAGTAATGTCCTCTACACTGACGCCCTGTATGCCATTAGCATGAATAAAGACATAGTAGGCTGAAGACACTTGGCAGCCTGGGACTCTGGGAACATGATTTCAAATAACAACTCCAGTTGTTCACAACAAACTAAGTTTAATCTTGTTCAAGTGAAGGGAACATGGATTCGACAAAGTGACCAGTTTCAGCTGGCAGAGGGAAAGTTATCAGATGCTAAAATGTAAGTATAGAATGGAAAATTATTGATATCTCAGTGACGTGCAATAGAAGCAGGCAAGTTGCCAACCGTAATTGGCAAATACATTTAATCAGGTTGTTTTACAAACCAAAAAACTTTGCTGAAAAATCTCAGATCTTTTAAAAACAAATAATAATTTAAAAGATATTCGTGCTCATCGGTCATGCTGTATGTTCACTATTTATACTCTTTGACTATATGCTGATTAGCATTCTCCATGGAGCAGTGAAATGCCTTTCTATTTTAAGCTACAGTCACCCATGTAAAATATGTACAGCAGTGGTGGAAGAATACCTTTTAAGGCCCTGAAATGATATTTTCTCAACACTACAAGCTCAAAATTTTAAAGAGGTTTTTCTGTTTTTACATGCAATAGTTCTTTGTTTTTCTTTTGCCATTCAGACTACACTGAAGTAGATGAGTCTCATTTATAACAATGTTATAACACCTCATTACACCAACCAGAATGCAGCACCTTATTAGTCAGAATGAAAAAGTAGCTGGATTGTGTTATCACTTACAGTTAAAGTTGGTCAAACCAGATTTTAGCGCTAATGACTTAGGTTACAGAGTAATTATTATAGGCAATAACAAAAGCAGCTCTAGAAAAAGCAGCTTTGATAGTTGTTTATTGAGTTAGTTTTTAAGAGTAAGTGTAACAATACTGACTTGTCAAAGTGCTGCATTGAAGGTTCTTGTTAACACAGACAAAAACATTTGCAAAACAAAATGTACTTGGAGTTTTTTCATATAAAAAGCCACATTTACATTGGGTCTTACTCATCAGTGGGTGTATGTTTGAGGTCTAATCTATTTAGGTCTTGCATGCATTTCCTTCATCATAAAACATTTACAAAGCTATTTTCCAAAGACTTTTTAGTCCTGCATTATTTAAATCCACTGCTTTTTGTGGGACAATCTCAATTCTAAAGGAGTTGGGGCACTTTAAAAAATGTAAATATTTTGCAGTTGTAGTTGCACATTGAAATACTTCTTTGTGCATTATTCCCACATGTCACTGGGATAGTACTTCAAGTAATATACTGCTTTGTAGGGCAACTAGAAGTCAAAACCTCTGACTTTTAAATGATTTAAAAATAAAAGCATTCATTTGCAGAATGGTGGTTATTATTGTGTTAATATGTCAAGTAAATAACAGTATTTACCCACATTAAGTGAGGTAGAAGTGTAAATTTGTATTGAATGGAAGGTATAGGTTAGTATTCTAGCAGGTGTTTTTAATGGAGACAATTAAATGTTTTTCCCTTCTTTTTCTTTTTCTTTTTTCTTTTTTAAACTTTATTGTGAAATTATCTCTAGCTATGAGAACAAGTCAGAACATGGGGTTTCCTGGACAGTGGTCAGCCCTGTTGTGTTCACCTACAGAGTTATTCAGTGCAAAAACATACTGGATCCCACGAATGACACACTGCTCTGGGGTCACTTAGGAGAAGAGGAACTTAAACACACCTTAAGTAACTGCAAACCACTGAAGCGATTTGTTGTCATTGATGAAAATGTCAATAAGCTGTATGGCTCCCAGGTTTCTCAGTACTTTAAAGCCAGAGGGGTCGTTTACAAGATTCTCCCTCTGCCCACCACTGAAGAGAACAAGTGTATGGAGTTAGTGACCAAGATCCTGGAGGAAGTTCATGAGTTTGGTATCGACAGACGCTCCGAGCCAATCGTAGCCATCGGCGGTGGAGTTTGTCTGGATGTGGTGGGCTTGGCGGCATCTCTCTATCGCCGAAGGACCCCATATATTCGAGTGCCGACCACTCTACTTTCTTATATTGACGCAAGTGTAGGGGCAAAAACAGGAGTCAACTTTGCCGGCGGGAAGAACAAGCTGGGAAGTTATGTCCCACCAGTGGCAGCCTTCTTAGACTGCTCATTCTTCCAAACTCTCCCACCACGTCAGATCTCTAATGGGATGGCAGAGATGTTAAAGGTGCTCGTCGCTGCATGATGACTGATCAAGAGAATGAGTTCCCTGATGGTCTTGCATGTATCAGCCCATTAACTCCTAAATGTATGTAATTTGCTTGCAGCTCACAGTAGAATGATCTTATTGTTCAAGCCATTGTTGTTGATCTTCTTTGGTGTCAGACTTTTAATATTTTGTGGGCAGGAAGTAATAACTGGCGAGAACAAGATCCATACTATTTGCAAACAAGATAATAGTTGTGTACAACTTCTACAGTATTCCAAAAAGCACTGAAATGCATCAATAAGACAGCTGATACTTCCCTTGCTGCAAGTTTGTTGTCAATATTGGAAATGAAAATGGTGTTTGTTCTTAATGCTAAATTCATTTTTTCCCACTGATTTTGTGTTTTGATATTATTTTGAATTTATTTATTTTTGCTCATCAATAATACATACTACCATTTTCTCATCTGGACACAGAATACACAAAGCTGATTCAAGCGTCATAGTTGGATGTTTTGACATTTGGCTCATTGCAACTAACCCTCTTGTAACCACAATTTAACCACAGAAGTGTTTACTGCATTTACTTACTCACAAAAACCTAAATTTAAGCTGCTACATTTTTAAAATATCCCTAATAAGATATACAACTTCAAGTGCCCATGCTACTGAAAGCCAGCTCCTTTTAAACCTGAAACTCCTCATAGTTTCTAGTGTCTGTCTATCACCGTGTGCTGTGAAGCATGCAAAAGAAAAAACTAAAGACACCCTCCACACAAAAAATGTGCTTTGTTTGTTGTTCCTTCACTCAAAGGAGCTCACACAATGCTGTGCAGACAGATATGGTATGTGCAGTTCCGCAGGGGTAACATTTCTTCATGCTTATTTTAAAACTGAGTTAAAGGATTAAAAAAAAGGAAAGAAAATTATGTGAACAGGTTCACACATTCTGATACTTTCAGTGATGTAGAAGATTTCAGCTTACTGTTTAAGAAAGTTTTATCTGGTATTTATATTAAATACTTTTATATCTATTAAACATGTCTGGAGGGAATCTTTGAAATTCATTTTCCCACAGTACAACAATGCAATGCATGTGATTGTTTATTATTAGATATTCCAGTTTAGAATAGAGTGTGTGTCTTCTCTTTCACTTATTGCCAGCTATTAAGTGTTATTCTACTGATACACTTTAGATGGCTCTAATGAAGCACCGGGGCCTGTTTGAGTTGATGGAGACTGAGGGCAGGAAACTGCTGCATACCAAGCTTCAGGTTTGCAAGACCAGTCCTGAACAGGAAGACAGCGCTACAGCCACCATCCGCATTGCTATAGAAACCATGCTTGAGGAATTGGCTCCTAACTTGTGGGAGGATGATCTGGACAGGCTGGTGGATTTTGGTCACCTCATCAGCCCAGAGTTAGAAATGGTCAAGAAGTATTTTCTATTGTAACAATATTCTATAACAATATTGTAGCATACATTGTAGCAATATTGTATTTGAGAGTATGAATTCACTCATTAAAGGGGACCTACTATGTTAATTTCCAGCTCAATATCTACTACTCTTGGACTCTTTTATAGTATCTTTGTAAAACTCACAGCTCAAAATAATCCTTATTTAAGGGTTTGCATATAGCAACCCAAGTGATGAAAAAGAAAAGCATAATAGGTTCACTTTAAATGTGAATTATTGTTAGAGAGTAAACTTATTTAGATATTATTTTATTAGCAGTTACTTTTTATCTGCACACAATTAAGTGTAACCTCCATGTTTTGCACAGAGAATATTGCCAGCACTGCTTCACGGAGAGGCAGTCAACATCGATATGTCCTTCATGGTATATGTGGCCGTTCAAAAGGGACTTCTCACAGTAGATGAGAAGAATCGTATTATCCAATGCATGCTGAGTCTGGAGCTTCCTGTGTGGCACCGGGACTGCACTCTGGAGCTGGTGCAGAAATCCCTTAAGGAGCGTCTGAAGCACTCTGCTGGCTCTCTGAGGATGCCTCTTCCCACAGGATTGGGAACTGCAGGTAAAATAATATATAGTAAAACTTTTCTTTCAATAATCAGTTGACATTACAAGTTACACTCTCTCTGTTACATAAAGCATGCTCATTAGCGTGTCTATTTTTTTTCTTATTTTGTAGAAATCTTTCATGGTATGATTGTTGATGGAATTCTTTGCCAAGCCCACAAGAAATGGACTGATGAGCTTTCTTCATCAGGAGACAAATGAATTTTACATGACAATATGGACAATATAGACATGATATAGATACACAACTGCTGCTGATTTCTCAATTGCATGTCCACCACATCCCCAAAGGAGGGTTACAGGACTGAGATCTTGTGATTGTGGAGGCCACTGAGTACAGTGAACTCATTGCCATGTTAAAGAAACCAGTTTGAGCTGATTTAAGCTTGGTCACATGGTGCTTTATCTTACTTGAGGCACACATCAAAAGATCCTAAAGGGATGGTCATGGTCAGAAACAATACTTAGGTAGACTGTAGTATTTAAACAATGCTCAGTTGGTACTAAGAGACTCAACGTGTGCCAAGAAAATATCCCCCACATCATAACACCAGCCTGAACTGTTGATACAAGGAAGGGTGGATCCATGCTTTTATGTTTTGTACACCAAATTGTGACCCTACCATCCGAGTGTCACGGCTAAACACAAGATTAGATCGGGGAATGTTTTTCTATTTTTCTATTATGTAACTTTGGTAAGTCTGTCTGTATTGTAGCTGCAGTTTCCCGCTTTTAGCTGACAACAGTGGCACCTGGTGTAACAAGTTATATTTGAGTTACTTTTGCCTTCATATCAGCTCAGAGCAGTCTGGCTATTCTCCTCTGACCTCTGGCGTCAAAAAGGCAATTTTACTGCTTTTCACTGGTCATTTTCTTTTTTTCAGACCATTTTTTGTGAACCCCAGAGATGGTTGTGTGGGAAAATTCCAGCAGATTATCACTTTCTAAAATACTCAGACCAGGTCTTCTAGCACCAACAACCATGCCATGTTCAAAATCACTTAAGTTGCCTCTCTTCCCCATTCTGATGCTCATTTTGAACTCAGCAGGTCGTCTGGTCATTCAACTCTTTAGTTAATGGTTTACAACACACCACAATATAATGCAAAAGCTACAAAAAGCAGTTGGCAGAATAAAAAAAAAGAAGAAAATATCAAAAGCAATGCAATAATTTTTGTATATACAGAAGAGGACTTTATCTTATAAAAAAGATACATGTGTTTAACTAAACTTACCGTGTTGCATTATCCCTTTTAATTGAAAGTGTAGCATTCTAAATGACTGAATCTTTGTAAATTAAGTAAATGAGTAAAACTGAACACAAACCAAAGATGTTTGTTTATGTGAGTTTATTATATTATAATAAATTATAATAAGTATAATTAGTATTGAGAGGGAAATAAAGGCAAACTCCACCAACATTCAAATAAAACTTTTAATATTTCTCACAAGATAGTTTCCACATTGAGTACCATCGAGTTTGAGCTCACTAATCTGAAACCAGTGGGTACAGTAACTACTGCTACATTCATCTCTTATAAACTGTAACAATAAGAACAGTAGCAACATCAGCAGAGAACTTTGTTTGTATGAACCACAGGAATGACAATTAGAAGACGAGGCCTAAATTGAGCTAACATACCATAGTTTTTCATTAGTGGTTTATCCATAACATGCCATAACAATTTACAGCTCAGAGAGTCATTATGAGAAACGAGTTAAGTGACAGCTTTAAGTAACTGCCACCACATAGTGTAATGTTTATATCCTTTCTTACAGTCACATTTTAGGGTTATTTAATTTATCTCTTCTACGTTTAGCCACAGATCCATGTTACAGGTATGTGGGTGTTGTACTGTTTCGAATCAGTCCCTGGACATGTGTCACCGTAAGAAACAATCTACAGTCCACTGAAGCGTCATCAATGACAAAAAAACCAAACAAACCAACACATTAGCTCAAGGTTCACTTCTCAGCTTGTTCAAGAACTTGGATTTCATAGTTAGCATCCTCATTGGATAGCAACACTGTAAGATAGCCGAGCTGCTATTGAGTAAATCTTGAGTCATATTCTCTACAATGTTCTTTCCACATACAAGACTGAACTCTAACCGTGTACTTATTTGCATTTTACATATAACCTTTGGGTAACGATCCATATATTGCTTATAACAAAAGAGGTTAAACACCACTAAGAAAGGTGGCTTTGTTTTGCAGGTTGTGTCTTTGTAGAAATGTATTGCCTTCATGTGGCACACAATTTGGCAGTTATTACTGAGACCTACATTCAAAGTTGTCACCTAGAAACCTAAGAAACACTGCCTTCAGTGTAAAATGTCATTTGAAAAAAATAAAATGAAGAGTTACAAAATATGGAGTTCCAAAGTGTTCGGTACTACATAAATATATATAGTATTTGAATATTAATCATAGGTATATAAATAAGTCAAATATAATAACACTATTAGTCTACAGCATCATTACTGGCTTTCTGAAGCTGTAGCACTGCACAACGACACTTTCAGGTAAATGCAGGACTGGGATTAGTGGCAATGTTTTGTTGGTAGCGAAAAAAAAAAAAAAACACTCTAGAAGGGTAGCAGGACAGCCATCTTTGATTATTTTCCTTACAGAAGTCGTGTGAATATATTCACTGTATATATTACCGTGATTATCCGGGTTCCCCACTATAAGAATCAGTGGTTCAGCAGCTCATTCTTGTTCATATTCAAAGCCTCTACTGCAAAGGTGGCTGGCATTAGCTCTGCTCAAAAGGTCATTGGTGCCTGTTGCAGTAGCAACCTAAGGACCTGGTGGCACTCTTAAAGAAAGGCTCGCCAATTGTACTTATAGAGGTTACTTTGGTAGTTAACAACCAGATCTTTATTAGATCTGTATTTGCAAGCAAAGTATGGTTGGCTGAGCTCAGCCTTAGAGACAGGATTATGAGCATAGATATCTGGAAGGAACTCAGAGATGTTGAGATGAAGCAGTTGGGGTGGACTGGACATCTACTGGGGGCTTCACCTTGGAGGTTTTCTGTGTACACCCATTTGAGAGAAGACCTTTGGGCAGACCAGGGATTATTTATCTTATTAAGCCTCGAAACACCTTGGTGATACCAAGCAGAAATTGGTAAGCTCTGCTGGGGAAAGGACATCAGGTATCTCCTGCTCAGACTGCTGCTACCATGACCCAACTTCAGTGGAGTGGAGTCAACGGTTGAAGAAGTCAGTAGATTTCTAAGTCAATCAACATACTAAGTAATTAATGATAATAATAGAGAACACTAATTCAAATATTATGTCAGGGTATAATTATTAATTACTTATATATTTTACTCTGCATTTATAATGACTTATTTCCTAATTTACTTCCTTATTTAATGTTGAACACTTTGGCGTTCCATAATAACAATACTCGTGGTTCTTTTGTTTGAGGGACTTGTAGTGTAGCTCTACGAAGCTCCACACACCAATATAAACAGCAACAAAACATTTTTTTTTCCTTCTCTTCCATCTTCAGGGTAAAAAAACAAAACAAAACAAGTTTAAGGCACTTAAATGAAAAGATAATTGCCGCGACACCATTTCAGACTCATTCATAAAGAGAAACCCCTTTGAAGACACGATGCTGCTTTACAGGCACAACTTTAACCATTGCATAGTTTGACAAAATGGAGGCTGTGCTGCAACAGGGCTCGTAGTATATGGCAGGTGGTTATTAAAAAGGTATACCTATGGAACATGCTAGAACTGTTCAAAACAAACTGTGGAAATATACAACAACCATCCAAGAATCCACAGCTTTTCACAAGATTCTGTATGCATTTGAAATAGTTAGTTTGTGCTCAGATTTAAAAGAAAGACAGGCAAACAAACCAGGTTTCAATTATCAGAAGTCATTCCAGTGTTTTGACAATGTCACGCATTTCATACAAAATCCCAAAGCAGTCTCCTTATACTCCTTGGCAATATAAATGTTCACATCATGAAAAAAAAATGTCCTGAATGTGAAATGTCACTGATGTGGTATATAAAAAAAAAACCAACAAGAATAATTTAGGAAATCAATGGAAATTTGTAAAAATCTGAGATTAACAGGTCTGCAGTATTACAGTATGGAGTCTGTGCTGGAATACTCTAAGTTTAACCAGTTATGTCTGTCTGATCACTAAAGATTAAAAAAAAAAACATTACAATAATTGACTAACATCTATTAGATTAAAAAAAAATAAAGATTTCCATAATTAAGAAATCTAGAGCTATCAAGTGACAACAGCTTCTTGTCAGACCATTTATAGCCTATTTTTATTCTACTAGTTTTGAGACAAATTTGGGGGTATTTTGGCAGTTTGGGCAATGAGGAATGTACTGGTAACATACTGTGTCTGTAATTGGCACTGGGTAGTTAAAGAGTGTGTGGTGAATGTATAACACTGAATAAAAGACTAAAATTATTCTCATGTAATGAGTTCATTGTAATTATCTTAAAAGAGAGATTCTAGCTTTTATTTATTAATTTTCTTAAATGTGCTTTCATTTATTAATAATGGCTCCATGTAATAAATTAGCTTTAAGGGGAATGTATTCATAACATCTTGTTTACACACGCGTGTGTATTTATATAATCTACAGATGATTTAATATTTGTCAAGCAAGAAATTTCAACTGGAAGACTGACAAAGACTCTAACAGCCAACACGTGCATAGCAATACGACAACGATGTATACACATCTTAATAAGGCATTGGCACATTCAAGTTCAATCTAAGACACACAGAGTGTAAAGCACTATAGTAATAAATAGATCTTTTTCCTTCTATTATTGCTATTGATTTAAAAAGCAGTGCTTATCTCACCACAAAATATCTACATTTTTGACCATGATTTATAATTTCCCTAGATTCTTTGGAATCAATAGAAAAAAAGGATAATCTAGCCTCTATCCAAAGATAAATGCATATTTTTTTTTTAAATATAAAAACTTCTATTTTTGTAACTCATTGTCATCAAAGTATTGATTAAAGCAAACACTTAAAAAAAAAATCAGTCCTTGAAATCAGGGTCAAGGGCTTGAAAAGACATGAACACGAGAAAACAAACAAACAATTTGGAAAAAGATTCAATACATGTAAACACAGGTGGGAGAGAGGAGGAGAAGTAAAACAAACAGAGAAAAGGACAACAAACAGAAGAAAGCCTTTCCAGCAGCTCAAAGTGTGTTTGCCACTGACTTGTAGCAGTAGGTGGAGGGGCTGAAAATGCAGGTGAGGAGTGTTCCAGTAGGGGGTGCTAACAACCCTCATTCTCATCCATGCTTACACTGCTCTTGCGACTGCTGTCCTTTGAGGTGTCTGGGGAGACGGATGAGAGCAGAGGGTCGCCCCCCCTCACCGGTGATAAGGTGTCTTCCATGAGGATGTCGCTGAGTTTGGAGCCCGACTTACTGTGAACGCCGTAGTGGCCCTCGGAGAAGTTAGAGTGGCCTTCGTTTAGCTCGAGGTTGCTGGGTGTTTCAGGAGTGCAGGCGGGGTGTTGTTGGTGATGGGGATGGAGTGTGTACAGGTCCTGGTGACAGTCCTCCAGAGCAGGCTCTTGCTTGATGGTCCGTACCCCAATTTCAGCAGAGCAGAGCGCTGAAGATGCAATGGCCAGACCGTGAGCCCGCGCCTGCATCTCTAATTCCTGTAAACCAGAGAGTGACACAAACATGTGCAGGTTAGGCATTAGGTT